AATTCGGTCCCTTAGGGAGTTTGTCTATGTCTATGGAGCTTCCATGACCTTGCCTTGGACAAGTTGTGCTGGTTTCCCCAGTATTGTGTACTGTCTTACCCTTCAACAAAAGTTACCACTTATCTATTGTCTATTTAGTGTTTTTCCATTCCATTTTTGATGTTCCATCAGTAAAGAAACTTATTCTGTACTTATATTTTGTGCCTTATGCATTTTACAGTTTGGAGTACACAAGGCACAATCTCTTTCCACAGGAAGCTTAGAATCAGGTTGAGGAGACAAGACAGACATAAATGAGATATCTTTTTTTTGCAAGAGTTGGGGAGAACATATGTCTAAAGAAGAAGAAAGAAAAAAATGTTATAATAATGTATTCATTGTCCACTTTGACTAATAGTCACAATGGAGTAGAGTTAGTGAGTTGAAGAGGAGGAGGTCATGCAGGGGACACCAATGTGGAGAAAGAGGGGACAGGAGCCAGGTGTGAGCATCGTGGGACTTGGGGATGGCAACCCCATCTGGAGTAAAGTACAGACGGCATGTAGAGAAAAGAGAGATAAGGTTGGATCACATATGACACAGAAGCTTGCTGAATGGCTAGGACTTGCCTTTATTGGTTCCTAAACAGGAGTGTGACATTTAGGACAATTCATCTGGGATGAATTCATTCTGAGAGCAATGTGGCTGAATCAAATAACTCCTTTTCAAGGATGTAGAGTCCACATACTCCCTGAGTCACACATTCTAGTATATGACCCCTCTACCAGTCTACAATACCTGTACACACACACATTACTCTCTGGCTGCAGTACAAGCCCGACCCCAAGAAAGTCCTCTTATTTGGTTTTCTATAAAACAGAAAATAACTATTTTTTATCCTCTTTAAATTCTCCTTTATCAATTTGAAGACTGATATTGAATATCAGTCTTTTCAAGTCCCAAGAATTCTACTTCATGACTTTCATCATAAACCTTTTCCCCACCGTCTCAGCAATTGTTTTTGTGACTGTTCCTTAGATCTGCTCCAGGTTTCTTACAATCCTTTTGAAATGAATAGATTGAAACTGGATATAATACTATAATAATGACCTGGTGGCACAGTGGTTAAGTGCTTGGCTGCTAACCAAAAAGTCAGTGGTTCTAACCCACTAGGCGCTCTGTGGGAAAAAGATGTGGAAGTCTGCTTCTGTAAAGGTTTACAGCCTTGGAAACCCTATATAGGGTCGCTATGAGTTGGAGTTGACTTGACGGCAATGGGTTTGAGGTGTTTTTTTTTTTTTTTTTTTTTTTTGGACTAATGCAAATAAAGCACAACAATTGCATCTCAGTACTTGTACACTACACATCCATTAAAATGTTCCAGAATCATATTTGCCTTTCCAAATATGTGTGTATATATATATATATATATATATATATATATATATATATATATATATATATAAATAATTTGCTGGCTTACGTTCAACTTGGCAGTCCACTGTGTCTCTCAGATTTTTAAGAACATAATTATTGTTTAGCCATGAATACATGTTGATATGTATCACTATAGTCTAATAATAGACATTAAATACAGAGTGGCTGGAACTATTTTATGGTTAGCAGCCAAATGCTTAACCACTGCATCACCAGGGCGCCACTTAAATGCCTACTTATGTTGAAATAGGAAACATTCTAAGAAAATTACATTTTGTTTTTTAGACCTATATGCTCCCGGCTGCAAAAACAAAAAAAAATAGTATTAGTAATTATCTTTGTTATCTAGTACTGCTACAACAGAAATACCACAAGTGGATGGCTTTAACAAACAAATTTATTTTCTCACAGTTTAGGAGGCTAGAAGTCTGAATGCAGGGTGCCAGGTCTAGAGGAAGGCTGTCTCTCTCTCTCGGCTCTGGAGGAAGGTCCTTGTCTCTTCTGAGTTTCTGCTTCTTTGTTCCTTGGAGATCTCCATGTGGCTTGGCATCTATCTTATCTCATATCTCCTCTGAATGACTTAAGATACACCCTATACTAATCCTGCCTCATTAACATAACAGAGACAACCCATTCCTAAATGGGATTATAACCACAGGCATAGAGGCTAGGATTTACAGCACATATTTTTGGGAGACATAATTCAATTCATAACATCCCAGCCTTTGCCCCACCCCCCAAATTCATGTCCTTGCCACATGCAAAACACATTCACCCCATCACATCATCCCAAAAATCTTAAATCAACTCCAAATCCAAAATCTCATCTTCTGAATCATCTAAATAAAATATGAACAAGAATTTAGGCATATTCCATCCTGGGGCAAAATTCCTCTTCATCTGTGAACCTGTGAAATCTAGAATGCAAGTTATCTGTTTCCAAAGTACAATGCTGGAACAGGCACAAGGTGGATATTTCCATTACAATCAATAAACTAGAGGGAAAGAAGGGATAACAGATACCAAACAAGTCCAAAACCCACCGGAACAAATTACATTAGCTCTCAAGGCTTGAAAATAATCCTCTGTTCTCTGAGACCATTTAGGCAATGGCCCTGCCCTCTAGACTCTGGGTATTGGCCACACCCTCTAGATTCTGGGTAGAGGCCCCTCAGCCCTGGGATTCAGCTCTGCCTTCCAGGCCCTCCGGGATGGGAACTCTGCTCCCTCAGTTTTAGGTGGCCCCCTTCTCCTAGTCCATCTGAGTGGTGACACCACCCCTTCGGCCCCAGCAGGCCCCATTCTTCTACGCCTTGGGCATGGCAGTCCCTCCCCGTCAGTTTTGGGTGGTGGCCCCATCCTGCTGGCACACATTAACAGCAGCCCCACACTCCAGAACCAAGTTGGCAAAGATCTAAGTCTTTGAAACCTAGGAGGCTATGGTCCCACCCTTTGAAATCCAGGAGACTGTGGCCCCACACTTTGAAACCAAGAAGGCCCTGCTTCCCATGTTCCTTCCAATAGTTCTGCTGATTTCTGAGCTGCTCCAGGCATGGTCCTTTTCTTTTCTTGGGGACAACAGATGTAGCTCCTTTGGTCTGTTTCCTGCCTGTAGAATTCCAAGAGGCAAACAGTTTTCTTTCCTTTTACTCTTTCTCTGTCCCCTTCAGTCTAAGCTGATGGGTTTTCTGCTGTGATAGTTGGTTAGATCCATCAGTCACAGGCTTAATCTCTTTAACAAAAGATTGTGTAATCTCGTCCTTGTTGAACATTCTAGGACATGTGTCCTTAGTTTGTACAACAAAATTTTCTAAATCTTGAGGTTCTATTTTCATTTTGCACAAACCCTGTTGCTGTCGAGTCGATTCTGACTCATAGCAACCCTATAGGACAAAGTAGAACTGCCCCATAGGGCTTCCAAGGAGCAGCTAGTGGATTTGACTGAGGACCTTTTGATTAGCAGGTGAGCTCCTAGCCACGGCACCACCAGGGCGCCTTCATTTTGCACAGTTCATTTTTAAGTCTATCTCTTTCCTCTGGCATTTTACTATAAGCAGCAAGGAAAAACTACATGGTCCCTTTAAGATCTTGCTTAGAAATCTCATCAGTCAGATATCCAAGTTCATCACTTACGAGTTCTACCTTCCACAAAACATTTGAACATCATTCAGACAAGTTCTTTGCCGCTATATAAAAAGCATTGCCCTTCCTCCCATTGTCCAATCACATGTCCATCATTTTCTTTTAAAGCCTCACCAGAAGCACATTTAATATCCACATGTCTAGCAACATTCTATTGCTCATGCCACATGTATTCTCTAAGACGATAGAGACTTTCTCTATAGCTCTCTTTACTTCCTTTTGAGCCCTCACCAGAATTGCCTTTGACGTCCATAATTCTACCAACAGTCTCTTCAAGGCAATCTAGGCTTTTACCATTAAACCAAACCCATTCCCATCAAGTCAATTCCAACTCATTGCGACCCTATAGTACAGAGTAGGACTTCCCCATAGGGTTTCCAAGGAGTGGCTGGTGGATCGGAACTGCGACCTTTTGGTTAGCAGCCAAGCTCTTAACCACTGTGCCACCTGGGCTCCTTTATTAGGCACCTTAAAACTCTCCCAGCCTCTACCCATTACCCAATTCCAAAACCACTTGCACGTTTTAGCTATCCGTTAGAGCAGCACCCCACTCCTGGTACCAAATTCTGCCTGTGTTATCTAGTGCTGCTATAACAGAAATACCACAAGTGGGTGACTTTAACAAGCAGAAATTTATTTTCTCACACTTTAGGAGGTTAGAAGTCTGAATTCTGGTCACCAGCTCTCGGGAAAGGCCTCTCTCTGCCGTCTCTGGAGGATGTCCTTGTCTCCTCTGAGCTTCTGCTCCTAGGCAATCTTCATGTGCTTGGTATCTCTCTTCCCCTGTCTCTCCTTGCTAGCTTGTGTTTTACGTCTCAGAAGAGATTGACTGAAGATATACCCTACACTAATTCTGACTATTCACATAACAAAGACAACCCATTCCCAAGTGGAATTATAACCACAGGCATAGAGGTTAGGATTTACAACACATATTTTTGGAGGTCATGATTCAATCCATACCAGTAATTTTGCGGTTTTTAATATATATAGTCTCTTGTGTTTTCTCTTGCTCTGAATCTAGAGAAAGCTTCTCATGAAGTTCCCACATCTTTTTCTTCTAGATTGACATATTTGAGGATAGAATCCGTGGCATTGATATCATTAAATGGATGGAGCGCTACCTTAGGGATGTAAGTATGTCCCAGAATTCTGAGATTGTTTTCTCCTGAGAACAACAATGAGCTTGTGAAGTTATTTTATTAAAGAAGCAATGGCATCCCACCCAAGTCCAAAACTGAGCAAGTCCCAACAAAAGCTCCCTTGTTGGAAGCTCTGCAAAGACTTGGAAAGGAAGGATAGAGGTCACCCTCCTGGACATGCACAGGCAGGAAATAACGGTCAAACCAGACACAGGTGGCTGATAACAATCAGAGCAAACAATTTTTTGACCAGAATAGGAACGGAGGAAATGAAGGTGGGGGGTGGGAAGGGAGTGGCAGAGTTCAATTTAATCGGAGACCACCCCAAGTGTTTTGTAGGATTGGGTTGTGCAGCATACCACCCTGAGGCACCCACTCGCAGCCCTGTGATTTGTTTTCCGCTGACAGAATCTATACTGGCCACTGGGACACTTTGTGCTTTAACAAGATAGAAATTGATTGCTGCCAGCATGTCTGTGTCGGCTGCTTCTTTTGGAGGGAGGTAGTGGGGGACGGAGACGCACAGGCTGGGGTTTTGCTGCTTTTCCTTTTGTCTGCAGCCTGATGTTTGGTTTGTGCTGAAGGCTCTGTTCCTATTGACTGTGCTAAAGCATACACACCAAACGCAGGGCAGTCAGGAGTTCAGTAACTGACAGTTTAGATCCCACTGCTGGGAGGAAAGAAGGGCTTTTCATCATTGGTGCAAACCCTTTTCGCCACAATGATGCAGACTCATTTAGTGATGCAGGCTTTCATTAGACATTTATTAGTGATGGCTGCAGAAAATGGTGGACAAAAGCATAGCTATTTAGGAGAGCTCATCTTTGAGCCACTTACTCTGTATGTTTGAAAGGGGGGAAGGGGGCTGAAAAGGAGGAGGAGGGCCGATGGGGAGACAAACCTCTGCCTGAGTAGGGGGTCAGTGCCTTTCACTTTACACGAGAATGAGACTGGCCCTCTGTCCAGGGCTTGTCAGAGAACGCTTACAGCCCTGCTGGCCCGTTTCCAGCCTGCCTTCACCAAATGGACCACACTTTACACTTCCATAAACATGCTTTTCTGCCTCTCATTAACAGAAGACAGTGATGATAATCATAGCAATCAGCCCCAAATACAAACAGGATGTGGAAGGTGCTGAGTCGCAGCTGGACGATGATGAGCATGGCTTACATACTAAATACATCCATCGAATGGTGAGTGGGGAGGGAGACACAGAATCCTGTGCCCCTCAAAGATGGGTAGGCACCTTACCCAGGGAAGGCCCACTCCCCACCAGAGATCAAGTGAGGGCAGCAGCGAGGCTGGGTGAAGGACCCCGGGGCTCCCAAGTCAGGAGAGGGGGATGTGGTCCTGGATCGGTCTGCCTTTGGAAATTTGGGCAAGTCACCACACCTCCGAGACTCAGTGTTCCTATCAGTAACAAGGGGAATTAATCTGCGATCTCTAAGCTCCAAGATTCTGGAAAGCAAGGCTCTGCCGGTTTGGTTGTTCACACACATGCAAAGTCCTAGGAGGGGCCAAAGACAGGGCTGGGGGAGAGGGAGGGTTCTTATATCTGTATCATATTCTCTCTCTTGCCTTTTCAGAAAGGCAGAAGGGCAGAGGGAAATGGATGCATGTTATTGAGTCAGAGAGGCTTGATTTAACTTCAGCCTTCTTATGAACAGGCTCTGTGACTGTCAGTTATCTAGTGCTGCTATAACAGAAATACCACAAGTGGGTGGCTTTAACAAACAGAAATTTATTTTCTCACAGTTTAGGAGGCTAGAAGTCCAAATGCAGAGCACTGACAGAGGCTTTCTCTCCCTGTCAGCTCTGGAGGAAAGTCCTTGTCTCTTCTGAGCTTCTGCTCCTGGGAAATCTTCATGTGCCTGCCATCTCTCTTCTCCTGTCTCTGCTTGCTAGCTTGTGTTTAATCTCTTCTATCTCAAAAGAGATCGACTCAAGATACATCCTATACTAATCTTGCATCATTAACATGACAAAGACTACCCATTCCCAAATAGGATTATAACCACAGGCATAGAGGTTAGGATTTACAACATGTATTTTGGGGGGACACAATTCAATCCCATAACACCAACCATGGGTCAATTACTTAAAACTCTTGTGCCTCAGTGTTCCTGTTAGTAAAATGGATTACAAATACTTACATACAGGGTTGTGAAGATTAAATGAGATATGCTTGTAAAGTATCTGGCACATATCGGATGCTCAATCAAAGGAGGGGATTGTTATTAGCTCATGATAGATGAAAACATTCTACCAGCACACCTAAACTAGGGGGCCTGGTCAAACTAAAACCAGTGAGAAAAATTTGTAGAAGATTAGATTTGCTCAGTATCTTGGTAGAGCATTCTGACCAAAAACATCACCCAGCTTTGGTACTAGTTGTTTGATGGAATAGCAGTCCTTGTGCTCCCTATGAGTGTAGTAACGCTGTGGAGACAGTTCCTGCCTGTTTGGAATGCTGGACAAGACTCGTGACTTTGAAACTCTTCTCTGGAATCCCTAATGGGGTCTTCATATGTGCTGGGGTGGGAGTGGAGGGGCTCTGGACCTCCCACACCTACCTCAACCAGAGCTGGTCTGCGTTTCTGAGCCTTGTTTGCTTACCGAGGATTCTGAGATTTAAAAAGGCTCGAAAATCACTGGACTAGAACTTGTAAGCTCCCTTTCAGCTCTAACACTCCACAGGGGTGGGGGAGGCACCCAGAATGGTCATAAGGGCTCAGTGACTGAGACAGGGAGACAAGGCAGGAAGCAGAAGTGGCCCAAATGAAATAAGTAAGCAGCGCAAAGCAGGAGGTAATCCAGGTCAGCCACAGGACATGCAACTTTAACTCAGGGGGAGTCTTAAACCCCAGGTCTGACCTACAGATCAACAGCACAGAAACAGGGTGGGCTGGTGGGTGGATGTTCCCCATGTGGGTCTCCAGGGTGTCTCTTACCTCTTCCACCAAGTGCTGATCACTGTTTGAGCTCATAACCAACCCAAACTAAAAGCAGAGGCAAGGTGGTGAGGTCAAAGTGTAAGGCCAAGGAGTCAGGAGAAGCTGGTAAGTTTCCCTCCTATTCTAGGCTTATCCCAGGCTGGCAGCACCCAGAAAAGGTGCCACTTCTGGAAGTAAACTGCCCTAAAAGTTCAGGGCTGCTTCTGGGTGCTGCCGTCCCTTGGCTGTTTGCTGCATGTCCAGAGCACCCGATGTCCTGCCTGCATCTCTAGGAACCTGCCAGCCCCAGGAGCTGACAGCTGGTGTGTGGGAAGGGCTCCAGATCTCTACCAGTTTCTGAGGAAATGTGCCCAGTTCTGCTGGTGTGTGGCAAAGCCAGGCAGTAATATACAGCACAACCTCAGAGCTTGGCTGAATGTGCCCAGCCACGAACCAGATTATCTCCAAACTTGGGCAACGATATTTTGGGCCCTTAAACTTTAGTGTTGAGGCCAGATACAAAAGTACCTTCCTTTCCACCTGGCTGACTTCCTACCCTGGCCCTTTACCCCTGGCAACAGAAAGCCTTAGGACAGTAAGGACTTGGCCATGACAGAGGGAGTGAAGAGGTACCCTTGAGTTCATCATAGAGGAAACTACTTCAGAGAGCCAGTATCTGGAAGTATGAGAGCCAGAAAATAAAAATGCACTGTGGCTGGCTGGCCCCTCAACAGATTGGGTGACCTAGTGGTCAAGCCAAATTTTAGAGTATACAGTGTTCTGGAAGTCAGAAACTAAACCCAGTTCTTCACTTTTAAATGACTAATTATATGCCCTTTCTTTCATATGTTTACTCTGTACTTGCACAGTACTTGGTCATTTTAAAATATGCTTTTGGTGTCGATATTTAAAAGGAAGTTCTGAGAAAACACCTTGTAGAAGGTGTGTGTGTGGTTGTATATGTGAATTTGTATGGTGTGTGTATGCGAGTGTGTGTGAGTGTGTCTTTATCAGGGGTTTCTATGGTGATTTCAATAGCCAGTCATCACCACTGTCACTTTCTTCTTTGTTCTGTTTCTATGCCCATGCATGTTGAAGACTTCTCAGTTACAAAAATCGATTGGAACATGAAATAGTTGGGAACACATAATTCCTCATCTCCTTGTCATCAGAAGACTGAAACCTTTGTGCTGGTTACAGGATTTGGAAGATTCTAACTCTCCTCAGACTGAAAATTCCGGTTTGATAGGGTTCTTGGCAGCTAAATCTCCCTGGGCCATCACAGGATCAGAGAAAATTGGTACTGGTGTAGGGAATGTAAAGCCTGGCAGACAGTTCTTCACAACTGACCTTTCAGCCTCATCTCTTGCCTCTCCCGTGAACCCATTCTAGGGTCTAACCACAGTGGATTACTAGCTGGTTGCCAACTATGCTACACACGTTCACATTTCTAGACGTTTGCTCATGCTGTTTCCTCTGCTGTGAATGTCCTTCCCCTCACCCCTACCTTCCCTGCCTGACCTAATTCTGCTTTTCTTTCAGTATCCAAATGACACCTCCTTTGTGACTGTCACTCATACCCCCAATGTAGAAAGGACAGACCCCACTCTGGGCTGTCATAGCATTTCCTTCATACTTTTCACACCGCATTATAGTTGGTTATTTGCCTTTCTGCCTACTCACTAGACTGTTGGCTTTGTGAGGATAGGGATGGTTATCACTAATGTTCTTGTAAACTGGGTCACTGGGGAAAAAACACCCCGATTTATAGTATTTGCCAGTTTCCATGGTATACTCTCACCATGGCCAATCTCAAGGCACCAACGTGAAGTTACTAAACACAGAATTAGGAAGAGACATGCACAACTGGTTCTTGTCAGCCGATGTGAGCTGGCTCCAGGACACCTGGGAAGATATCCTAAATCTTACAACTCAAAGTCTAACACAGAGTGTGACTTTTAATAGGCCTTCAATAAATGATTGATGAGTGAGTGAATGACATAGATGTGTAATGGGAAGGACTTAAAATTATAAATGTTTGGCACTCAAATAAGGAAATAAAAATAAAAATACTGCGTGGGCCTGCGTGATTATGTTGTTGTTGTTGTTAGGTGCCGTCGAGTTGGTTCTGACTCATAGTGACCCTGTGTACAACAGAACGGAACACTGCCTGGTCCTGTGCCATCCTCACAATCGTTGTTATGCTTGAGCCCATTGTTGCAGCCACTGTGTCAACCTATCTCATTAAGGGTCTTTTTCTTTTTTGCTGACCCTCTACTTTTCCAAGCATGATGTCCTTCTCCAGGAACTGGTCCCTCCTCATAACACGTCCAAAGTATGTGAGATGAAGTCTCACCATCCTCACTTCTAAGAAGCATTCTGGCTGTACTTCTTCCAAGATAGATTTGTTTGTTCTTCTGGCAGTCCATGGTATATTCAGTATTCTTTGCCAATACCATAATTCAAATGCATCAATTCTTCTTAGATCTTCCTTATTCATAGTCCAGCTTTTGCATGCATATGAGGTGATTGAAAGTACCATGGCTTGGGTCAGGTGCACGTTAGTCCTCAAAGTGACATCTGCTTTTTAACACTTTAAAGAGGTCTTTTGCAGCAGATTTTGCATGCTTATGGTTACCATTAATTCCTTGTCCTCATTCCTGAAATTAATACTTCATATTTGTTTGGTTCTAGATGCAGATTGAGTTCATAAAACAAGGAAGCATGAATTTCAGATTCATCCCTGTGCTCTTTCCAAATGCTAAGAAGGTAAACAAACAAACAAAAAACCTTATAGTTAAGAGTCTTTGATTTGTTCTGCCATCTGGGAATTTAGGTGGAAAACCTTGTCAAACTCTTTCTCAATCCTTAGAAATAACAGCGTTACTAGAAAGATCAACAAGTTGTACCACTCGGTGCAGCAGCATGAATCAGGAAGGTTTTAAAGCGTTATCTGATAGGACCATCACTGCCCTAATTGTTCAAACAGCCATTGCACACAAAAAAGTAGTTTGTGTTTTAACTCATGAGAGAGAAAGAGACTGTTCATCTGATACTTCTTATCTTTTGTACATAAAAGTCAAGATTCAGACATTTTATGCTGGCTGTTCCACGGAAGTATTTTGTTGCACATAGTTCAGGTCTTCAAGCTTTAGAATAACAGGAATTAAAGTGAACTCTGTTGTGGTTCATATGAAGGTTATTTGCACCAGAAAGGCCTATCGGCTGGTTTGGGAAATGGAAGACAAAACCATCTGAGGCCATGTGCCAGGCTTGGCAAAGGGAAGACGGTGGTGGAGTAAACATGTTGAGAATCAGACCACAGCACCCTGAGCCCAGGTCCAGACATACCCTATAGGACCCTAAATGTCAGGACTGCATGGAGATGTCTGCCCTGGTTGATGGAGAATCCAATTTATGTGAATAGGACATATAGGATGGTACAGTACACAACCTAAACAACAGTACGCTTTTCCACCCCCACTGCCCCTGCTTTGCCCAGGCTCCCTTCCCCCTAGAACACAGCAAGAGTCTCCTTAGTGGTCTCCCTGTCTCCACTTTGACCCTGGACTAGCCATTGTCTGCTCCATTACCAAAGAACATCCAAAATGTAGATCTGATCTGTCTCTCTCCAGTTTAAGTATTTTGTGGGGGTTTCCCACTGACTATAGGATCATGTTCACCTTTCTGTGACATATGAGGCCACTCAGAAGACGACTGTGTCCACTTGCTCAGCCTTCTCTCTCATCACCCCCTGCACACATACTCTATGCCCTGGTCATCCTGGACTATTTTCAGCATGCCCTCACATGGACCATGTTCTTTTCTTTCTCTGTGCCTTTGCACTTTCTGTTCCCTCTACTTGCAAGACACTACCCTGGCTTGTCTGCCCAGTGGACTCTTGCTTATCCTTGTATTACCCAATCTCTCTAGCCTCCCCTGACCTCTTCTCCCCCAGGCTGATTTATTTAATTGTCCCGCTCTTGAGTCCTCTTAATTGCAATACCTTGAGTCAATGGTATGCAGTTGGGAGTTCAGACATGGGAGTAATTGTTTAGGATTACTTGAGCATGGTGATATAAAAAGCAGACCAACTTTTAGTTGGTTTTATTATTGTTTTTAAATCCTCGTCAGACAATCCCCTATTGCCTGCACTTGGGGCAGACTGCCCCCACCACCTGCCCCCTATACACCATTGCGTAGAACATAATTGCTTTATATTTTGCCTCCATTATTAGACTTTGAACTCCTCAAGGCAGTAATTGTGTCATTTTCATTTGGGTATCCTCAATACCTAGCATAATGCCTAAAAACAGCAGATGCTCATAAAATGTTTATTGATTATATGCAACTTCTAAGCTCATCCTCCTACACTCAAGGAGTCCCATCTCATCAGAGTAAAAACCAAAGGCCTCAGAGTCATCTACAAGGCCCTCTCTGATACAGCCCTCTCTACTTTCAGATCTCTCCTACTCCCTCTCACTCACTCTGCTCAGGCCACACTGGCTTTGTTGCTCCTTAACAGGCCAGCCATGCTCCCTCCACAGGCCCTTTACATTGGCTCTTCTGTCAGCCTGAACCTGGATGTCCACAAAGCTCATTCCCTGCACTCTTTTTAGGCCTTTGCTCATTTTCTCAGTGAGACTTTTCCTAAGCACACTATTTAACCTTTCAGCCCTACTCCAGCACTCCCGACCCCCTTCCCTGCTTTATTTTTCTCCACGGCATGTATCAAACACACTATACATTTTACTTACTCATTATCTGTCTCCCCGCACCAGAACATCAGCTCCACAAGGGCGGTCTGAAACTGCACACCCAGAGGCCTAGGCTCCCAGCTTCTGCCTTTGTCTAGTAACAGGTCTAGTGGGCTCCTTCTACTGTAGGCCAGACCTGAGGCTGGAGTGAAAGGATAATGAATTTGATTAAGCCCATCGCCTTGGCACACTTCTTCCCAAATCACAGGGGAATTCACATCACTTTGTGTGACCTCTGTCCTATCCCTTTTATGTGAAGGTGGTGAAAAGCTCGTTGATATGCAAAGGGCAGGTAGCCTGGGAGACTGACAGAAAATGCTGTGCACATGTGGTTTCCATAAAAAGATCTACAGCTTGCACCGGAAGCCAAGAGCATTTCACATGTGAACCCCTTCCAACAGCAAAACAGCACAAAACTCCCAGGGTAGCTTGCTAGGTAACGCCCAGGAAGGGAAAGCCATAGATGTTTGAGAACCGAGCCTGAGATCTGGAATCCAGATTTTTCACTAATGGCTTTTGCTCCTGTCATTCTTTCTCCTGTAGGAACATGTGCCCACCTGGCTTCAGAACACTCATGTCTACAGCTGGCCCAAGAATAAGAAAAACATCCTGCTGCGGCTGCTGAGAGAAGAAGAGTATGTGGCTCCTCCCCGGGGGCCTCTGCCCACCCTTCAGGTGGTACCTTTGTGACACTTCCAGCCCTAGATCACTGGGGCCCTGGTCTCACAATGTTCCTCTGGCAGAGGCTGATGGGTAGCACTCATGACTATTTGTTTCTCAGTCCCTCTGTGAGGGGGCTACACCCCTCGAAAACCTGTTATGCAAAGTACTCTTTCTCCTGAGACTTCTACAGAGCCTGTTTTTGAAGTGGAGGTAGTGGCTGCCTTGCACTCCCTGCTGCTGAGACTCACTTCAGGAGCTGATGTCCAGTGTGTTCCTCCTAACAGTCTGTAGTGTCCATTCCAGGCCTCTCCATGCTTAGCAAATAGATAATATAAATGATGTTGCAATAAATGTAAAGGAGCACAAACACTCTCCTGTCACTTAAGGCTAGTTTTATGAGTTAGCCAGATACTTGGGTGTCCGTAGACCAAACGGATTTGTGTACAAATAAAATGTTTACTTTTTTGTAAGATTGTGTTTCACTTATCTCAAAGGAGATAGATATTAATTTATAATGATACGGGCAGTTACTTCCAGAGACATTAACAAAGCTGCTTACGGGTAATACTAGATAAATGTAACAGACTACTGTGTATTAAAAGATTAAAATCAGATAGTTAAACAACCCTTTTAACATAATCTCAAAAGCTTTATTCTTGCAGTAGAGCTTTTTAACAAAACAACTTTGTACAGCACACAACCATGATTCTAAATAGGATGATCATAGTTCTTAGGATCTGAGTATACGTGTGAAAATGTTTGTGTGTACATATGTAGTGACAGAGGGTATATGATGCAGGCTAGAATTGTGGTTTGGGAGATCTAGTCTTGGGCCTACTACTAACTAGCTGTGTGACTGTCAGCAAATTCTTTCACTTTTGTGACTCGGGTACTCATTTATAAAATGACACAGACAAAAGTGTCCCTAACGACCCTAAGAGGTTTAAGGTATAGGACCTAAATTCTAAATACTCTTTTCAGGATTGTTGAGTTTTCATTTTCATAATTATAGCTCCAGGAGATAAAATTACATTGTTCTTAACAGGGACATTTTATTCTTTTTAAAAAAAAAATCTTTAATAACTCTCTCAGATTAATAATTTTGGAAAATATATTTTATATCTATCTTTCTCATCTGATCTCAAAAAAAATACCCACACTCATATAAAATATGTACGTATGTATACAAAATATGCATAAACTATAGAACAAGGTGGGATGCCTTTCATTGAAGCCCAAGATGGTAGTCCACTATGAAGACTTTTTGGAGGTGAAAGCTACTGCTTCCCCTTATCTGTCCACCTAACTAACCTTTTAAACAAGGCTCAACTGTGCTATGAGATAGTTCAACCCTTACATGCCACTATAGGGAAAAGACAAATACTTATGAACTATGGATAAGAAACTTCGCCAATAATTATAAAGAACACTAGTTTCATTTACTTCATAGCCTCGATGTCTACTGGGTAAGGTGAATGTCTTTGTTTTTAAAAAATAAGAAAAGAAAAGGCAAGCTAGCACACCTTAAGCAGTCATTTATGAGACTATGACAAGTACCTTTATCTCTATAGTATTGAGAACTGGTAGAACTGACTTTCTTGTTTGATTAACTTGAAATGCCTGGTAAACACCGTAAATGCAAATTTCAAGTCTTTTTTTCTTTCTTTTTATTATTTTTTTGGATCTGAGATAACACCATCATTAAGGATTCAACACACAGTTGTAAATAAAATGACATTAGCAATTATTACTCAAAAATGTTTCTGGCTTACAAAGGTTTCAGTCCTCAAACACTCATTACTTTCACTCTTCCTACCCCAGGTGAATGATGAGAGAAGGTCCCTGGTGTTCCACAAATAGTCATCAAAATTTTATAGCTGGTGGTACTGGTAGAAAAAAGCAAAAAAACCCTACACACACAACCACCTGGCCAAGTGATGAAAGTTTAGCTCCTGAAGTTTCTATGAAATCTGATGACCAAGAACGTAAAGGAATTTTAACAGCTATTTTAAAGCACTGACACTAAGATTAACACTTGGTTTATCTGGACGTTATCTTGGTCCCCATGAATTCATCTATAGGTGTTTCTGGGGTGGAAGTGGGGTAGGGCTGACTTAGTAAAATAACCTCTGAACTCAACGCTTTATCCAGTCCCAAACTGATGGGGGGTGGGGTACAGAGTGCAAGGTTAGATTCTTGTCTAATAGGAACTGATTTAAAATATACTTTTTAATTTTAGTGACTGATTTCAAAATACCTGCTTGTTTAGCTTAACTTGTATATTTTTCAAAGACATCTCAGTACATGTCTACAATCAAAGTATTAGACTAGCTATTTCTCAGCTCAGTGCTCAGAAAAAAATATTTTTGTTGATTTCTTTTTTCTTTTTCTACTAAATAAATCACTCTTAGATTGAGCTCTTAGAGTCCTCTCAGCAAGGGATGCAAGCTCTCCATTATGAACATTCTAGATCTTAGTTGATGATGTTTTGCCAAGAGCATTTTTCTTAACCCCAGCCACTTCATCAACCACCTAACCTCCTTTGCCAAACACCCCATTGTCACCATCACCTTTGCCAAATGGATTGCAAAGTCCTGTGATCATTGGGAAATGGTCTCTCAAAACACAGGATCTTTCTGTTTCTTTTTAATGAACCAAGAAGAATCAGTGAGACCCACCTCCTAGTGACAAATGAAAAAAGAAAGGTTAGATTGTGGGAAAATATCACAAAGGAGAAATCTGTACTATTTTTCAAGATAAAAAGCTCAATATGAGCCCACCAGCCAAATAAACAGAACAAACAAACCAAAAAGGAAAAAGAAAGCACCAAAATAAATTTAATTCTTAGATCATTTATTTCTGTCATGGAATTTCCAGTCTGGAAGGGGCTCTAGAAGTCATGTATCTCTATAGCCTGGATTTATAAATAAGGAAAGCAGAGCCCAGAGAAATTGGCTTGTCAAAGTTCACCCTAGAGGTGGAACCCAGACATTCTGGGTTCTGCAGACATTTTTTCGGTGACGCTAGAAAGCTTTCTGGGTTTTGATGGTAGATTTGTTCTACAAATGACCCAGTATCTCCCTGAGGTAAACTGAGCCTTATGAACACAGGAGGCCTGAGAGAAGATGCACCTCTGTCCTCTTGTGGCTGGAGGATTAAATGATCGTGTTGCAACTAGTTCTTTGGGGAATTAATTATTACTATGATTATATGTGGTGTGACTTTTCCTGAAGTGGTTTGGCCTGTTTATTTTATACTGCTATTATTTTAAACCAAGGCACAATTTAAAATGTCTTAACACCTGAAGCTTGCAGATAAAATCTGCTATCAGTCAGATCAAATTCTTTCAGTTTTATCTGGCCAATCTTCAAAACAACAACAATGAAATTGGTTTTTACTTTTAAGTACTGTGATACTCATCTTTCCCTCACACTTCTGATTCAACAAGAGTGGCACTTGTCGGAATAATACATAGCTGTGTGGAACATCTGCACCGCCTATCATTTCAGATAGCGAAATTAGAATTGTGTGGTCATGCTAACTCCCCTGGGGGCAAAAGAGGCTGCAGGAAGGGACCACTTTATAGTGAGGTACATCAACAACACAGAGAAGCCTAGCTCAATCAATATATCTAGCACTCTGGGAGGCCTTGTGACCCAGTGAGATAGCATGTTCTTAACTTCATACTGCTTTGTTCCATTTTCTATTGGGAAAAGCTTTCAGATAAAATTACAAGATACTTGCTGGGAGGTGGGTGGCTATCATAGACTCTGGGCAGTCATGTGCTGCCAACTCACCCCTGTGTGCCACAGCCCCTCCATCTGTGACTGCATTTGCTCCCAAATTCTTAGTCTCAAGCCAAGCAGGTGGGACTGTAAGAGGAGCACTCAGGGTAGTTTAGTGATCTACTTAGCTTCTCAAGGAACTTATGAGTATGGGTCTAGGTCACACTTGTTCAAGTGTTTAGGAAGTGATACTTGAGCCTCTGCAAAACAATAAAAGTCTTAGGAGAAAGTGTACCTAGGCAGAGGTGACCATGTTCTAGGCCTGCCTGCTCTTTTCTAGAAACTCTAGTTGTATGAAAGGAGTAAATGCAGCCCCCAAATCTGTCAGGACTTGTAAACTGTAACCATGAGGGCACACATTTCTTGTCCTTTGCCTGACCTCCCTTTGCTCCCTTCACCAGGAAGGCGCTGATGGTAGACGGCAGCTGGGGAGAGAGGGGAGAGGGAGGGAGAGCGGGAGAGAAAGAGAGAACTCATGCCTGATGGATCCCATTAGGCTTAGTGTGCAAAGCAAGTTGAGATGAAGTAGCTGCTCTGGTATGCATCCAAAACTGATGTTCTATTTTTAGTCCCTCCCGCATGCTTCTTAGCCCCACATTGTACGCCTGGGCACCTGGATCGGCAGCAAAACATGGAACTGAGCCACTCATTTGTAAAACTGGAAGGAAGGCCATTGGTGCAGGGCTTGTTTATCGCTGACAGGGAAGGGGGACCTGGAATGTTAATGAGGACGGCTCTCTGAAGCAAGCCTTCGTGGTTAGCACGGAGTTCAAAGGAGAAGGCAGACTCAGTCCTGCTCTGAACAAATGTGAACTGTTGATAGAGGGAAGGAGAAATCAATTATGCTGTCGCAGGCTTCCATGTCATCGTGTTGGAGTTGTTAGAAAAGGTAGGACAAGGACCAGATCTCCAAAGGAAACAAAGCCACATGGCCTTGAAGTATAACGAGTTTGCCATGGCAACTGATGGAAATGAGCCTCCTGGGCACTGAGCAGGTGTGTTATCTTACAGAATAAACATACTTCTCGCACTCTCTGGTTTTTATAATAAAACCTGTGTTTGGATTACTTTCCCCTCCTCTTTGTTACTGGGAGAAGTTGGCTGTTGCTCAATCAGCCCAAGGCTCTAGTAAGGGAAATGTAATCAGTGTTATCAAAAGGGCTGCTTTTGAAAAAGCTGGCGCTTGACTTGGCAGCCAGCCTCACAGAGTGGCAGCTGGGCCACAGGTACCTGTCTGGCCTTTGCCACCTACCAGGAGATGCCCTCCACAGAAAGCTGCTTGTTCATGCATTCAGCGAGGTGGAATGGTGAGGCCTGGCTCTCACACTGGCTGCATTCTTCTGAGGAGAAATATGTGTAGGTGAGGCTGGGACTTAACCAATTTTCAGCATTCTGTGTTATCTAGGATACGGGCCAAGTGTTCCTTGAGTTCAGGGATTAACAGATTCTATCTTCCAATCTGTTATCTACAAAGTTCAGTTACTTGGAAGCTTGCAGAGAGCTGCTGTTTCCGTGAAGTTTAAATCCCTCTCAAATGGGCTCTGGGGTAGACGATTCTTGTGTCCCAAGTGTACACAAAATGTAGAGATTTTACAAAATCCTCCTAAGTTAAAGAAGAAAAGTATACTTTGTATTATCACAGGCCAAAGGTAATGACTAAGTAGAATAGTCATATTTTCACAGTTCTCATCTTGTGATTAAGAGAAGATTTCCATTCTAGCTTAAAATTGATTTTCAAAACAAGATGATCACTCACAAGCTCCCAGAACACAGGCAGTTTCCAAACAAGGTTTGTGGCAAAACAAGGGAACTGAGGAGGGCTTGTAAGGCCACGACCAGCCAGTTCAACACAAAGCTGCCAACCAGCAGTTTATATTCAGCAGCACTAAAACCCCTCTCCTGCTTCTGTTTGAGTTCCTTCTTTTCTCTCTCAAGTACCTAACAAGATATCCAGCACCACTACCCCTGCCTTCTTGTTGGCCCTATCTCTCAGATGATGCTCTCACTGCCCCTTCACATAACACCTTACCCTTGACCCTGATAAGAAAAGAATGGCCACCTGAAGAACCAATTCAAGGTATGGTGGCAATGGCAGAAAGGGTTTAATACACTAACCCTCCCAGGCGAAACAGTGCCTTCCCCAGACTAAACCTCCCCTGCTTTTATTTCTAGGACAACCATCAGATCCTCACTCAGATCGCACTTACTCTTACTTTATACACACTTCTGACAGGTGCAGTTACCTGTTTTCCCAGCCCTCAGTATGTTAGAAGCTGAAAATTCAGGAGGACTACAGGGGAAATGGGCTAGGGTCTGGCATACTGATGGAAATGACAGTTGACTTTTTGACAGGGTGGTTTTGTCATGGAAAAATTATGAGGGGGCCTGAAAAACAAACCACTGACACTCAGCTTTTTAAAAACTACCAAGCAATATTTGTAAAAGCAACCTTACATCTAATTTTCACCCAGGCCAAATCAAAACAGCCACATCACAATGTTCAGCTTCAGTGGTCCGGATACATGTGCTGTAGTAATAAACACCTCAAAAGTTCCTGAAAACATCACAACTCTCACAGCAAATCACTGGTGTTAAAAATAATATCCTTAATCATCTGGAGAAAGTTAAATCGTGTTCCTTCTACCCTGTTTAAGAAGGCAATTACACGTGTACCTCACAAGGTTTCCCTCATAGTTAGCCACTCATTCCATTCCTGCCAACATCCCCCCACCCAAGGTGGGGCTCGGCTCGGCCTGCACTGCACAGGCCTTGTCAGGGCCTCAGTGTAAAGGACAGGCCTAACATTTAGGTCCTCCAGGCACCAAGATAGAGTCAGCAAGGGAAGTATTTATGGCATTTCATATTGTATCTAGTAGATAGCTAACTTATTGCACTTCTAACTAAAGCTGGCATCTGGGTGCCACAGAAGACGCTATGAGGTGACTTCCTGAGCTTAAGGGGCGTGTTCCAAAGTGAGGTGGGCAGGGCCTTTCCACATTCAGGTTTTTAAAATTCAAGATTCTCAACTGGGTCTTTGTGTACTCAAAAAAAAAAAAAAGTTGCTATTGGGTCGATTCAACTCATGGCTACCTCGTGTGTCAGAGTAGAACTATGCTGCACAGAGTTTTCAGTGGGTGATTTTTTGGAAGCAGATCACCAGGACTTCCAAGACACCTTTGGATGAACTCAAACCTCCAACCTCTTGGTTAGCAGCTGAGCATGCTATTATTTGAAAAAACACATTTAGTCCCTGACATCCCAGTGTGAGCACCTGAGGTCTGGTT